CTAGCTTTTGTAGTTTCCGAGATCTCAGTGTTCATACTGACGGACGGACGGACGGACGGACAGACGGACATGGGTAGATCGACTCGGCTAGTGATCCTGATAAAGAATATATATACGTTATGGGGTCGTAAACGCTTCCTTCTACCTGTTACATACTTTCCGACGAATCTAGTATCTTGGAGTCTTCTCGTCTCCGCAACCAATTTCGTTTATAAGTCTGCGCATCAGAATGGCCTCCTTGCAAGCTGATGATATCGCCATATACTCTGCATCGGTACTGCTAAGGGCGACACTTCGCTGCTTTTCAGATCGCCAAGAAATTGGACCTCCAGCTAGGAAGTAGGTGTACCCGGTATATGACTTCCTGTCGACTTTGTCACCGGCCCAATCCGCGTCTACGTATCCAAGAAAGGGTTGAACACACTGTCTGTAATGTTGCTTCATGTCCACTGTTGATGCCAGATACTTTAATACATGTTTGATACCGGCCAGATGTTCGGTATGTGGATCCTGATTCCGTTGAGTCAGTTTGAAAACGTAATGCAAAATGTACGGCCTGGTTGTAAGTGCAAGCCACATTAGCTCGCCAACAACAGACTGGTATAGAGTTGGATCAATCTTTTTGCACTGATTGCAAGTGCAAGCTACCTGGTATCCTGCATTCAGTGGTGTGGCAGCCTGTCTGCAATTTTCAATGACGTGTGCATGCAGTAGATCCTCTATATACTAAGAATGTCCCAGGGAAATTGCTCCCAGCTCTCCCTCACGCTCTATCTCCGTGCCCAAGAAAAGGTTTAGTGAGCCTTTGTCCACGAATTCGAAAGACTTTGAGATACTCGATTTCATTCTGAGCAGATCCTCTTTTGACTGACAGGCTACCAGGATGTCATCAACATATACCAGGATTAGCGAGAGGCTTCCCATTTCCAGTCTGCTTGTAAAGGTTCGTTCTCACAAGCAATGAAGCCGAGTTTAAGCAGGGTACTGTCAGGCATGGAATTCCATTCCCTTCTTGACTGCTTTAATCCGTATATCACCTTTATGAGAAGCAGACTTTTCCCAGGACGCCTCTGATCGATATACCCCTCCGGTTGCTTCATGTATACCATCTCACTAAGGTCGCTGTTTAAATACGCTGTTCATACGTCCATCTGATGCAGAAACAGACCGAGCTCTGCTGCTAAGGCCAATATGAAACGCACACTCTCCAGCCCTCAAACTGAAGAGAAAGTCTCATGATAGTTAACGCCTTACTGCTGGGAGCATCCTTTTGCAGTCACACGTGCCTTGAAACGTTCTATTTGGCCATCCTTGTCGCGCTTAACGTTGAATACCCATTTCCATCCGTTCGCACGCTGATTTCTAGGTAAATCTGCAATCTGCCAGGTTTGGTTGCGAGAAGAGAATCGTATTCCCTTTGCATAGCATCACGCCATTCGGATGCATACGGACTGCTCATAACTTCTTTAAATGTTGCTGGTATCGGAACATCTTTTGACACTAAGGCACCAAGGATGTTGTACTGCTTTATATACTCCTTTCCTTTTGGTTGAAACTTGCTTCCTTTTCTTGGACTCTTGTCCAGAGCAACTGCAATAGAACCAAATACCTTTAGATGATTTATACAAGGTTTCTTACCAGTCCACGCTACTATTGGGGTCATCCAATTCACTGCGCTGGTTGGAGAACAATTTCGAAAGTAAACGAGCGAGATGACACTAAGTACATACCAGCGTTGCCAGAGTTCTATAACCGCATTTTATTTTCTACAAATACTATAAATAAATCACATGTAAAAAGTTCATTATAAAAATTACGCTGTATTTTAGATCCACAGTCTTCTTCTTTTTTGAAACGAAACTTACTCGTTTATTCAACACAAAATTAAAATTAAGTCACAATTCAATTAAACGAAAATAAACAAGAAAGGAAGTTAACTTCGGCAAGCCGAAGTTTATATCCCTTGCAGTTATAATTATTAAATTTAAAAATACAAAAAATGATGTTCCCAATAGTGTAAGAAATATGTCAAAAGACACCGAAGCTATAATTTGTTTCATATAATTTCTCACCAATTTTCCGAATGTTCCTATGGCAGCGTCCGATTTTGATAAAATTAAATTCGAAATTAAGAACTAATTAAAAAAACTTTTTTCCACGCGATCCGATCGTTCTTATGGTAGCTATACGATATAGTCGTCCGATTTGATCAAATTGAGTTCGAAATTCAGAACTAATTAAAAAATGTTATTTCCAAGCGTAGGAGGTTTTATGTTAAAAAACACCGAAGCTATAATCTGTTTCATATAATTTTCCCATCAATTTTCCGATCGCTCCTATGGCAGCTATACGATATAGTCGTCCGATTTTGACAAAATAAATATCAAAACTCAGAACTAATTAAAAAATGTTATTTCCAAGCGTAGGAGGTTATATGATAAAAACACCAATTTTCCGATCGTTCCTATGGCAGCTATATGATATAGTCGTCCGATTTTGATAAAATTTAATTCGAAATTCAAAACGAATTAAAAAATGTTATTTCCAAGCTTAGGAGGTTATATGTTAAAACATCAAAGTTATAATTAAAAAAAATTTTTTTTCCCGATTATTCCTATGGAAGTTATAAGATATAGTTGTCCGATCCGGCTGGTTCCGACTTATATACTACCTGCAAAAGATATAAGACTTTTGGGAAAGTTTCAGCCCGATAGCTTTAAAACTGAGAGACTAGTTTGCGTAGAAACGGACGGACAGACGGACAGACGGACATGGCTAGATCGACTCGTCTAGTCAAGCTTATCAAGAAACATAATCAGAAACGTCTCCTTTACTGCGTTGCAAACTTCTGACTGAAATCAATATATCTTCTGCAAGGGTATAAAACAACATCGAGTTCTACGCAAAAAATAAGAAAAAAGTAACATAATTAAAATTAAGACTAGATAAAATAAGATATAAGATATAATAAAAGCTCCGCTTTTCGCTAACAACAAGTCCAGCTTTACTGAACATCCTCTCACTCTCAGTAGAGGTGGCCGGAGTCATTTGATATCTGTTGAAAGAAGAAATTCAATTTTTAAGTTGGTTACCATGTGAATTGTTATTTTTTGTACCTTCCAATAATCCAAAGAGTTTTGGGCAGGCTCCAAATTACTCGCAGTTAAATATTGTTGCAAAGCTAATATGGAATCCACGCGACCGCTTTGAATTTTTTGAGCTTTGTTGGCTTGTAAAAAACTGAGTAATAGGTTGGACTCTGCTGTGGATTCTGGTGTTTGCGGGCTTGATGATGTTTAAATTTTTGTTGGAGCATTGATGTGCGACAGTTCCTCCTCTAACGATTTAACGACTTGGGTGGAACTAATGTATTCCAAAATCCCTCCTTCAATTGTGGTCCTTCGTGTTACGCTACGATTTTCATAGGGGACCCATCTTTTGTAGACCCCTTGAAGTATGTCATAACAGACATCTTGACCTACCTTAGTCTTGAGTTTAGTTTTCATGGCTGCCAGATTGTGTAAAATACCACAAACAACCGGAATCACCAACGACACTGTCACAGAAGTACTCGAAGATGCGTGTACCGTTGCATTCTCATAAGGTGAAAGTATCACCTTGAAATCCTCCAGAATGGATATTTCATCAGATGTTAGCGTCATCAACCCTTTGGCCGTGTTTAGTAGCACACTTGCGATGGCAACCTTTGTGATCAAAATTCTGTCCATATAATAGACGCTGTTTCATCTTGTAGAACATTCTTGCTTTAAACTAAAGGACGTTCGCATTCCTGGGCCTCTTTAAAATTGGCATACGCAATTGTGCTACTTTTAAAAAAAGAAATGAGATGAAACATCGAACATCGAGGTTTTCAAATCTCGATGTTTCCCGAGTTCTGGAAAACATCGATGTATCGATACATCACCGATGTTTTTTCCAGCTCTATCTCGACTATAAGATACCCGCTACTCAGCTTAAGGGATCGCGAGAGGGATGGCAACTTTTTTTACTAACTCACCTATCCTATAGCGCCACCTAAGGGTGTGGCCGATAACGAGCTTTAAAAACGGTGTTTTATCAGACCCGAATTCTTTCTATGAATATGCAAAAAATCATTAATAATATCAATATTTACTTTATACTACCCGAAAATACTGAAGACCAGTCTGTATGGTAGAATTAAGAAAAAAAATGGAAAAAAAATAAATAAATTGCAACGCCCACGAATTAAAAGCTGCCAGAACGGCTAATTCTTATGAAAATAATGTATCTAAATCTTAAATTCTAAGTACTTGTATTTAATAATATTCCTACAACGACTTACTTACTCATATACATATCAGCTCGCACGATCTCAGTATATGGTCGACGTCCTCGTCTATCAAATACTCATTACAGTAGCAAATTGACTGCTCACACTTCGCAACAGCGTCAATTGACTTCATAAGCACTAGTAGAATATATATGAAGCAATATAACAGTATAGCTATCAAAATGTGGTCGCCAGAGCGAAAGATTCCGGTCTTGCAATCTGGCCCCTCCTAGGAAGCATAACTTTTTATTCAATGTTCGAATTTGAATCCTTTTTGGTATTCATAGCAGAATCAGCTAGTGATCCTGATCAAAAAAACATATACTTGTAGGGTCAGAAACGCTTACTTCAACCTGTTACATTATTTTCCGCGAACACAATATACGTATTTATTTACTCTACGAGTAATATTAAATTTCACTATAATTATTTTGTCATCTTCTGAGATTTGACCACAAATTCCGTGTCACTTTTGACGTGGAATGACCCTTTTCTACATTTTTACTCATACCTTCAACTTCGTACTTAATTTATGATACTAAAAGAATGATATTTTGTGCCTGACTCCCTCCCTTCTTCCTTGCCAATTTATTTATGCGCATTTGCCATAATATTTCTTTACTTACATCGTTAAACTTAAGTTTAAATATATAAGGATATATTTGTAACTTAATTGTATATATTTCAGGAAGATTTATGCCACATAGATCCAAGTAAACTTTTATTGGAGAGTATTGGACGTGGCTTCTTCTACAATTATTCCTGTGAAGGATTCAATTCTGCAGGCTGGGGTCCGCGCAGTGAAGACAAGGAACTTATGGTTGGTTTAAATTGCATTCAGTTTGCTATTTATTCTTATTTAATTGAAATCTAAATTTTCAATGTATATTTGTAATAGGTACATTACGAACCGGGACCTTCAACACTAACTCATTTTCCGTTAGTCGCTGTGAAAAAAAAGAGCGTGACTTTCTCGTGCTCGGTTGATGATCCCGGATATCCAGACACAAATAGGTTTGTAACACAGGCCAACCAGACTCACAAAAAGACAAGATCCCAACACGCACCTTTTATTGATTTCCACACCGTACAAGAACTGCAACCGCAAGAAGTCGGCATTGCTTTCGAAGCGCTGCTGCTAAATAAAAACCAAAAACCACTCCAATCCAATGCATCATCACAAATATCATTAGAAGCCAGCGCATCGCATTTAGCTCACGAAATTAAAGAAACTCATGCTCTAATTGATTTATATTTAAACCATTCCCATTGTACATTACTCACGCTCACCACCTACATGCTACAATCGCAATTCTTAACTCTTTACACGGGGGCACAACAAAAGTATGATTCGCTCGCCACCGCATCGTCCTATGCCCTTTACCGAAAAATGGGCAAATTTTCGTTTCTTGCTCAAATAGTTTCGAAACCCAACAGATATCGTTGGCTGCGTGGCGGTCGGGGTCCTCTGCAGGACATTGTGACGAAGGACTGGACGGTGGAGCCGGTTGGTCTAGATAGTCGGACGAATTATTCTTGCTTCGCATACAATGAAGGCGGCAGAGGAGTTATGGCTACAGTAAGCTTGGAGGTACACGCACCGCCATTTTTCATCAAAAACCTACCACCTTATACGGGAGTATTGCACTCCTCGCCCAATGCAACTTTGACCTGTCGAATTGAGTGTGTCCCGCGCTGTGAGATATCTTGGCAGAAGGACGGTGAGCCAATAGAGAAAAACGATACCCGTTATTTCGTTAAGGAAAAATACATGGAGGCATCCCCCGCCACAGGTGATTTTGAAAGCATGCTATCAGTTTTGGTAAGTAAAATATACTTGTGCATTTGACAAAAATTTTGTTAAATCAACTGAACTTTTAAATGTCCTCAACAACAATGATGCATTCTCATGATGCATTGTCCCCAACCTTGTAACATATCTGGTGTGAACCTTTATTGTTTACATTGTCAAAAAATCGTTACTTATTTATAAAATTAATTTTTGAGCTACATAAGAATAGTTTAATAGTTATAAAAAATATTGATGAATAGGCAACTCATTTTATATGGGCCTGCCATGCAAAACGAAATCTTTAAGTCCTGTTTTCTTTTCCTTTAGTTTTAAGTTACTCCTTATTTGTTTACATGATAAAGAGAGCAGTAGTGAGGAGATCGAGTTTTATGACGGCTCGTTTTAGAGGTAAATAATGGAATTCTTTTCCAGAAAATATGGTATTTTCTACAAAAAAACCACATTGTCGAACACAATATAATAGTAAAAACCATCGAATTGTCAATTGTAGCTTTTACGTAATACGTAAACGTAATAAGAGTTATGAAAAAAATTGGTATGTTTCTAAAAAAGGGTAGAGTAAACCGAACCCATAGATTGTAATTAAATAACTATTTTAATATTTACTCAACCCATAAAATATAAAAAGTGAATTGTTCTTATAGTCGGTATATACCTATGAAATTGATCAAATTATTAATTCAATTCATATATACGTCCCTGTAGCATGGTAATTTAAAGGCAAAATAAGAAAAGTAATTTTTAAATGTATGAGACGCTAGACCACGTTGGAAATTATTAAGAACACATTGAAGAACATTTTTAAAGTTATTGTTACACACTTTTGTTTGTAAGATTTTACGTTAGGATAACTTTTTGATAGCTTTGATAGTTAAAAAACAAGGAAGAACGCTATAGTCGAGTACCTCGACTATCAGATACCCGTTACTCAGCTAAATAGAGATATGCAAGTAGCAAAGCGAGATTAAAATGCGCCACCTACCGGCGGTATACAGATTTAAGCGTTATGGGCGTTAGAGTGGGCGTGGCAAATTTTTTTTTTTTGACCAATCGATAAGTATTGACGAGACCAATACATTTCAGTTAAAATTTTTTATCTAGCATGAAAATTGTGCGCGCCACAGGTTTGCTCGGCTTGTGGGCGTTGTAGTGGGGTAATACAGAAAATGTATCCGTAACTATGCAAAAATTGTTTAACCATTAACAAAATATCTAGGAGGGGAAAAAAGGAAAAAAAAGAATGTCTACAAAAATTTCAATACAGTTTGACGAATAAGCTGTATAAGCTTTTTACGAGCTAAGAGATCTTATAGCACAGGTTGAATTAGTTCAGCCAGATTATAGTAAAAATTTAACAACAGACGCATCAGACGTCGCTATCGGGGCAGTACTAAGACAAGATAAAAAACTAGTTACTTTGATTTAAAAAACATTGAACAAAACGGAACAACTTTATGCCACAAATAAAAAGAATTGTTAGCCATCAACCCTTATCCTTCACAATTTCGGATAAAAATCCAAACGTATAAATGAAAAGATGGTATTCCTTCATAGAAAGTTTTACCCCTAAAATAACACCAGTTTACAAAAAAAAATTGACGAAATACGCCTTTCAGGAAACCTTTGTTTTCCGGTAAGACACATCTCCCTGATTAAGAAAAGGGCACTTAAAATATTTCTATGGTACCAATTTTTTTTAAAGTGTAAAAAACGTTTTTCGCACTTTTTTATTTTCTAACTCGAGTTGTGATAAACCCAATTCGGTCATTAAAGACTCATTTTACAGGTAATCGAATGCCTTTTAACTTTCTTATACACCTCATTGAGTTCCATTCATTAGTTTAAAAGCTACACTTCGTCAAAGTTGAAGAATTTGGAAAAAATGCAAAAACGCTGGCATAAATTGCTTCTTTAAAAATACACGCCTAAAAACCGAAATTAGTTTTATGTTGTTTTCTTGAAGGCTGAACCTTAACGGAGAATATGCGCTATTGATCACGACAATCCGTTGGTAAATCGATTTTTTACAGATTTTTAAACGTATATACCCAAGTTCAGTATTCGGGAGCAGAGGCCGTTAAACATTATTTTAAATTTTCAGTGTTGGGGAACGTAAGATTTTGGTGCAAGTAGCTATGCATAACGTCATCCAAATTGGTACCATAGAAAAAATTTTAAGTGCCCTTTTCTTAATCAGGGAGATGTATCTTACCGGAAAACAAAGGTTTCCTGAAAGGCGTATTTCATCAATTTTTTTTTGTAAACTGGTGTAATATACAAACCCGAAACAACAAATATTGTAGCCAATGCATTATCACGAATACAAATAAATAATATAACAAACAGCGATATAGTCTTTACTGAACAGTCAAACTCAGATAAAGACACAGCATTTTGTGTTAAACAAATTTCAACAACAATTTTTAAATGTTATTTAAATGCCGTTTGAATGATACAATACTTTTCTTAACCCATTCAGTACTTATTGAAAAGGACGAATTTGTGTGAAAATCTACTCTTTAAACTTTTTTCTCGTCTTGAAAACTTAAATTTTTTGATGCAAAAAGTTTCTTCAAACAAAAACAATAGTAGCTGCAAAAAGAATTTTTCAAAAATCATTTTGCTTATATTTTTTATGATTCATTTTTATGATAGGTTAAGAAATGTATTGTATAATTCATACGGCATTTAAATTACCTTTCCATTGATGCCAAAGTTTTCAAGAAGTAAGTTCAAATTATGAGTATATTTAACTTTTGTTTCGTCAAAATACTTATGCCGACCGGTGTATATTAAGAAAGTATCTACCACCGAACATAACGGCTGGAATTTATTGTAGCTTAGAAGTTTTATATCATATTCAAGTATCTTTAAAAATTATTTGTACTAACAAATTTCTTTATAAGCAAATATTTTTCAGGACGTAGAAAACGGTAAGAAGAAACGCACAATCGCACAAATTGACAAATAAATCAGTATCTTAAAAATAGAACAATTTTGAAGGAAAACAAGTATAGCAATTAAAATTCCAATTGGTAAAGCTCCAATACCAACTAACGAAGGAGAAAACTTACATATTGATATATACTATGCGCAAAGTATAACTTTTATAACTTGTATAATAAATTAAACATACTGGAATTACCTTAACAATTTCCCCAAGCCAAAGTACTTATGACCGATAATGAACCGAGCTTTACCTTGGCCCAATTTAAACCTTTTGCACAAAGGTGCTGATTAACTTTACACAACGCAGATCCGAGGCACAGTACCTCAAACGAACAGGATGAAAGGGCACATTGGACACTAACAGATTTAGCACGCTGCATAAAAAAGAATTTAATCTAACCGATTATTCTGAAATCGTTATAGAAGCCGCTCAGGAATATAATCAGAGTATTCATTTCACAACGAACCAAAAACCTTTTGACATTCATTATAATAAAATCGAGGACGAAAATGTTCCTCAAATATTGAAAAAAAAAGTGAAGAGAAAATGTTAGAAACAAATAATGGAAACAGAAAGGAAAATAATATCATGTAGGACAAGTAGTTTTGAAAAGAAATATGGAGAAAGAAATAAGCTTAAACCGAATATACAAATAGCTAAGAAAGTTATGCCTAATAAAATAATAATTAATAGTAGAAACAAAAATATACACAAAGATAATATTAAGGAAAAAAATTTTTTTTTAACATAGAGAAAATGGCTTTCCTTACACCTCTTTTATCAATCATAATATTGGCCAGTTAAGAAATATTTGATTACTCGAACCATGCATTTTTTCTGTTCAAGGATGTTTTTTCTTATGAATTATACAACGATTTGTTCCACGTAACTAATTTAAGTTTTTATAAAAAAATTATAAATACAGAATCAAATAATTTAAAAAGGGATTCTAACAAAAGGTCACAATGGGAAATTAAATCCGATATAAATGTAATCAAATTAATTTTGTCCCATTTAATATCAACAAGATCAAGAAGGGGAATACTAGAGTTAGGCACTATGTGGAAATGGTTAGCAGAAACTCCGGATCATGATGATTTCATTAAGGTACAAAATAAAATCAATGAAAAAAAAAAACAAGAAAAATTCGTCATTAGTTAAAGAAAAAATTGAGAATCTTCCTCATCTTCTTTACAAAAAAAATATTACCGCGAAGTTCCGTAAATTTTAGAAATTTTTTATATAATCAGGAAAATATTTCTTAATTCAAGAAAATATTTTCCAATTGATTGGCGTTTTAAAACCAAGGGAGATTTTCTAATATTTATGGTGATTACTTTTTTGAGTGTAAAGGGACTAAAGGGAAATGGAGATATGCAAACAGCAAAGCGAGATTGAAATGCGCCACCTACCCGTGATCTCAATATATGGTTATGTGGGCGGTAGACAGACTTAAGCGTTATGGGCGTCAGAGTGGGCGTGCACACTTTGAGAACAATATGAGAACAATACACTTCAGTTAAAATTTGTATTCTAGCACAAAAACTGTAGGAGCCACAGCTTTGTGTGGTTTGTGGGCGTTAGAGTGGGCGGTGCACCCTGCTGAAACAAACATGCGCCGCGCAAGAAGCTCAGGAATCTGCACGCCAAATCTCAATAGCCTAGCTCTTATAGTTACCGAGATCTCAGCGTCCATCCGGACAGACGGACAGATGGACATGGCTAGATCGACTCGACTAGTGATCCTGATCAAGAATATATATACTTTATGGGGTCGGAAACGCTTCCTTCTGCCTGTTACATACTATCCGACGAACCTAGTACACCCTCTTACGGGTATATTACAAGTAACGGGTATAAATATTAAGCAATGAAGATATTAAAGAAATATTAAAACGCGAACAAAAGACAGTAATTGTCGCTGACTTTAAATTTTCCAAACCGATGGAAAATTATTAATAGGTAAATGTCTACATATAAGAAATAACTCTTTAATAATTACGATTAACGATTAATTAAACGGTGAGAAATCAATTTGTAAAAAAACAAGGGAAAAAAA